ATATATATATGAGTATATTGCTTGCATGTGCACCCATGTCATGCAGTGCCAGTAGACATCAGAAAAGGGTGGTGGGTCCCCTGGAACTGGAGTTAGGACAGTTACTGTCATGTGGGTGCTGGGAATTGAACCCAAATCCTCTGCAAGAACAACCAGTGCTCTTAACCACTGAGCCATCTCTCCAGTCCTCAAAATAAGTATTTTTTAAAAAATCTCAAACAAAAACCAAAAAAAACATGCTTTAAGTTCAATCTTGGGACATCCCATATTGTACATAGACTCATCAATCTTTGGTAATTTTTACTGTTTTTAGATAACTGGGCATCTGAATGTGAACTTTCACCCACATTATCATATTTGAGTTTTATTACATGCCTGAAAAGTTAAAATAGGAACATTATTTCATTGACTAGAAAATAAACTGAAAAATAGTCATTTGGCAAACTCTAAAATTATCTAGTAAAGCAAACTGAATCACTGATGCAAAATGCTAAGACTTTTTCTTCAGGAAGAATATATTTACAAATCAATATTAAACAGTAGTTTGTTAGGAGACTTGTCAGGTTTTTTATTTAAGCATCAATTTTAAATTTAATGTAATGGATACAATATTCCTAATTTCATGCTGCAAATTTTTTTTTAATTTTTTAAAAACGTTTTATTATTTTTATTTTATGTGTATGAGTGTATTGCCTGCATGTATGTGAATGCACCTGTGTCATGCAATGCTGCGGAGGTCAGCAGAGAGCTTCAGATTCCCCTTGAACTGGAGTTAAGGATGGTTCATAGCTGCCATGTGAGTGCTGGGAATCGAACCCAGGTCCTCTGCAAGAGCAATCAGTGCTCTTAACTGCTGAGCCATCTCTCCAGCCCCGAGAATATTCACTCTTAAAAAAAAACATTTGCAGGGGCTGGAGAGATGGCTCAGCAGTTAAGAGCACTGACAGCTCTTGCAGAGGACTGGGGTTTGATTCCCAGCACCCACATGGTGGCCAACAACCATCTGTAACTCCAGTTCCAGGGAAATCCGTCTCTTGTTCTGACCTCCACGGGCACTGCATGACACGGGTGCACTTACATACATGTAAGCAATACACTCATACACATAAAATAAAAAAATAAATATAAAAAAGTAAATATTCTCTCCTTGGAGTTCTGGAAGGATTTGAATTGTGGTTCCAAATGCCTTCCTTAAAAGCAAATACTATTTCATAAGGTAATTGGAAAGAATCTTGTTCTAGAAAGAGCTTATCTGTTAATTTGATACCTTTACTTTTTCAGTTAGAAATAGTACAATTTAAAACTTAAGGATGGACTTCACCATAATACAGTATGGGATTTTCAATCTTACCTTGCTTGAGGTATACAGAAGTGGTTGATGGAATTGCTAAGAATTTGGTTTCCTAAGCCTCATTGTCCCCAAATGAAATTCAGTAACTGAGAAAATAGTAACGTTTAAAGAACATCCTAGGTGCTAAAGAACACCATGAGAATTACTGTCAGAGAATTAATGTCAGTGAAACTGACATTCTACTTGTGCAAAATGTTTAGCAGAAAATGAATCACAGCAGATGAAGCAGGGTTTCTACATGGTAGTCATATTTTAAAATCACTTCTAGTCTTATAAAACCTCAAATGAACAAAAACTGCCCCATACAGCTGTTATTAGGTTATGCCCTGTCTTGCCACCTTGTAACGATGCTCCGAGTCTAATTTACTGTAGTAATCAGTCTCAAATCCCTCTAAGTCGATGTTCTTATTAGCGTTTATGTTATGGAATTTATGGGCAGCTTCTTTCAGGGACCTATGCCCTTCAAGCCTTTTATTTGAAGACCCGCAATGGCTCCAAACACGGCACTCTCACGCTACTTCAAATACAGACAACAACCAGTAAAATGCACCTGTAAAATATATAAGTAGAATGAGCTCTATTTTAGACAGCGACTGTCGAGAGTCGTAATTCCAGTGGAAAATTTCAAAGCTGAAACTAGTTTCTGCTTCCTGATACTTAAAGCTTTTTGTCGGAAAAAGAAAAACCTATAAAGATCCATTTTTAAAAGACTTAGTTTTACATGAGAAAACAAGCCTAAAGAAACCATTTTTTTTTGCCCACGGTCACGCCCAATATTAGGTTCTAATATAACATCCAAACCAGCTACATCTGTTACGACCCCCCTCCCCCAATTCCTAACTTGCACCACCTCTCGTCCTCTGTGGCACCGACTAAAGTTGTTTTGTTTAACGGTCCTTACCCTATCCCATTTTGCTTTTATGTCAACCGGTAGGAAAATCTTGCACAACGTCTAATAACACGGTGACTTTCATAAACCTTTTTCTTTTGCCAAAATTTTCTCCGAAAGGCTCAGTTCGCTGGGGGGGGGGGGGGGGGGGGGGGGGGGGGGAAAGTCCTTACAAGTACTTGAGCATGCCGAGGGCGCAGCCTGCACGGTCGGGGAGGAAACCACAGCAGAATGCTTTAGTGCGAGAGGGGAAAGCAGGGGGTGGGAGAAAAACACGATGGTGGGAAACCCCTGTGCATTGGGTCTGCCAACCCCTGGCAAAGCTGGGCAGAGCCGGGCGTGAATAAATCTCCTTAAGTGGCGGGGCGCAAACACTGCAGCAGAGCAGAAGAAGTGGGGGCCACGGAGCCGCTGGGCACATTGGGGGAAGGAGGGAGGGACGCAGAGCCCAGCGGCCCTTTTATAGGCCGAGGCCCGCGCCGCGCACGCGCGCACCCGCCCATCCCTCTGGCTTCCCGGGGCTCGGCGCTGAGACCCAGCTACCTGAAAAGGGATGGCCTGCCCACAGCCCCGCCCGGCCCCCGCCCTCCCGCGAGGTCGCGGCCGCGGGAAGTCTGCGCCGCGCCTCACTCCTCCCGCGGGCGGGTTCCCTTACCTTGTGAAAAATGCCTCCGCAATTGCCCCCGCCTCCTCTATAGTATGTGAAATGGCGGTCGGCGAGGCGAGCGCGACAGCGCAGCTCTGGGCCAATCCGGCGTAGCTGCCAAAACGGCCCTAGAGCTCCGACGCTCCCCTCCCTCCGGCTAGCCTATCCATGATATCGGTGCTCCCCCGGCCCCTCCGCGGTGACCGTGCCACAGGCCGAGTCATCGATTCCTCCGCGTGCCTGGCGCGGCCCGGCTTCCCGCCAGCCTCTTCCTTCGCCGCGCGCTCAGGGCGGGGAGAAAACACCTTGTCGCCCCCCGACTGGGTTCCCGCCGGGGCCCACGCCCGCCTCCCTCCCTTTCCCGCCGTGCCCCCTCCCCT